AAAACATTTTTACCAAGTAAAAGAACATAATGAGATCTGCAAATAATCGATTTGGATTATTAAGGATGAAGCAAGGAAAATTTTTAATTAAATAGAAAAGCCATCCTAGCTTATTTCCGCATTGCCACTTGCACAGTCGCATGCACAGCTGCCATTTCTGCAGTCCACATGCACATTTCCTCCCAGTGCAGGGCTTTTTACTTTCACACTGTCTTGATCTAATCGTATAAAGGCTAGTTTACTATCTTTTTCTTCCATGGGTCATGCTTTTTATGAAGACAGCCATACGCCATGCTGTTATTCGGAGAGCTTTTTATTTGCTCAGGGGGATTACTTTCAGTCTGGCTTCCTCTACTTAGTATCACCCACTTGTAATTCTTCCACACTGCTGCCTACATCAGGAGTTTGTTCCTTTTAAGTGTTTGATGCTTTTCCATTGTATGATATGCTATGACTTGCTTATTCATTTACCATTTGATGGGCATTTGGGTCACTTCCAGTTTGGACCTATTATGAATACTTTTGCCATGATCATTAGTGTATAAGTAAGTTTAAAGCATATGTGTAGACAAGTTTTCATTTCTCTTCATGAGAACACTCTGCATCCTTGCCAATACTCAGGATTCTAAGTCTTTGTAATTTTAAGCATTCAGTTGGGTGTGTGTTCATTTATTTACTGTCCAGTGACATTGGGAACAGTTTTGTTTATTTGTCATTTAGATATCTTTTGGGATGAAGTGTCTATTCAAATCCTTTGCCCATTTTTATTTTGGGTTGTTCTTAGTACTAAGTTGTAAGAATTCTTCATACATTCTGGATACCAGTCCTTTAGTATATCTAGTCCTGCAATTGTTTCCTGCCAGTGTAAGGCTTACTTTTTACTTCCCCTACAATATCTGTACCTAATTTTTATAGATTAGTTTATTATCTTTTTCTTCCATGGTTCATGCTGTTTATGTTCTAAGAACTGCATGTGTACTTAAGTCTACAGATATCTCCCCTGTGTTTTCTTCAAGAAGTCTCATGGTTTTATGTCTAAACTTTAGGTCAATGTTCAACTTTCAATATTATTTTTATATGTGGTGTCAAGTAATGGTCAAAATTCACTTTTTTCTGGATGTCCCAATTTGTCCAACACCAATTGTTGAAAGGGTCATCTCCCCCTCACGGCCACTGAAATACTTTGATCCCTTTGTCAAGATAAACTGACCACGTATGTGTTCACACATTTCTAGACTGTATTCTGTTTCACTAATTTATGCCCATCCTTATGCTAACACCACACTGTCTTGATCCCTGTAGTTTTCTAGCAAGCTGTGAAATTAGGTGCCATAAGCTTTCCAACCTTGCTCTTCATTTCCAATACCATTTGGCTACATTTAATTTGTTGTATTTTAAACTGCAAATTTAAATCATTATATAAGTGGACTACTGAGCTTGTCAATTTATCAAAAAGCCTGCTAAGAGCCCGGATGTAGTTGGTAGAGCGGTGGTAGTGGCACCAGGGGTGGGGGCGGCAGGAGGAGGAGGAGGAGGAGAAGGACCCTGAGCGGCGGTGGCGGGAGGAGGAGGGGAGGAGGCAGCCCAGAGAGGAGGACGAGACCCAGGAGGCAGCTGCTGGCCTGGGAGGCAGTCGCTCTCCACCGGGCTGAGCCGGCCGTGTTGTCTTGCACCCGCCCCTGTTGGCTGCTGCTCGGGCTCCAGAGTGAGCGTA